CACACCACTCATGAACTATTTGTAGCTTTTTTAACCATGAATTATGATTATTTAATGTTTTAACCATCAAGTTAACGTAGGACTTCTTTTTTTTTTTTTTTTTAATGATAACATGCATATTTATGTATATAACAACTCTTTAAATTATGAAATAACCACATTAGGTATTTTACACACCTTATATTTTCTTATAAAAGGTGATACCTTAAATGCACATATCCAGTATTCTTAAACATTACCTATTATTATTAGCACTAGCAGTGAATAACAGTGTAAACAGTTAAGTACAAAAGTAATCTTATACACCAAAGTAAAAGACTGCTATAACTCATAATTTTAATATTTACTAACAGAGATATACTGCTTTAACTCTCAAAATCAATACATATACAATGTAAAGTTAACATAACACTCTTTGATTGACACATTTTTTAGCGAACAGAATGTAAGAATGAAAATAAAGCCAAACTTATAGTGTCTATCTATCTACTGGGTTACAAAAGCATATACGGCTGTGCATCCAATCCTATTTTTATTATTTATTATAATGCAGTCAAAAAAACAGTTAAGGAAATCCACTTATTTGCTTCCCTGCAGAGCGTTATTGATACCGCTCTCATATCTGTCTGTTAAGGATGAAGCTAGAGCCATAAGACGTTAAAGGACCAGTGTGTAGGATTTAGTGGCATCTAGTGGTGTACTTGTAGGTTGCAACTCTCTCGTGTCACCCTCCCCTTCTAAGCACAAAGGAGAAACTACGGTGGAAATGCGCAAAAAACACATCGGCCCTCTCAAGAGCCAATGATCCATTCTGGGCTACTATAGAAACACTGTTTAATAATTGGTTACCTGCATTCAATGTTTATGCAGAAGGCTATAGCGCTTTAGAAACTCTAAGACTGCTTTTTGTGTCATTACACACCCATAACACTGTACTGCTACTTGTATCACCATCACCCCCGCTGTTATCATCATTATTATCCTCTGGGCTTTATGCCACAGGTGTGACCTCAAAACCTTTCAATATGTTCGTAACATATTCATCCCCCTCTTTTGTTCTGTGCCTTTTGTGTTCTCCCCTGGTCCTGCCTCAAAGGATCATTATTATAAGTAGACTAATTGTATTATAAAACAAAGCTGAGCTCTTTCTATCGCATCCAGCAGTGTATAAGGGCAGAGTACCAGAAAGACAGCAGGGCCAGGAGAACGAGAAAACACACACACACACACAGCAAGTACAACAATGATTAATTACATTTTTTATATTTCGATTTCTGAATCATCGCTGGCTTGGATCCCCTCTGGCATCATCTAGGCATTTCAAATGGATGTTTTTCATTGTCAGCATCAGGAATGATGGACACGCATGGCTGCCAGGGATCTGTAAACTTTGGGAGTGACATTATGTTGGTTACACTTAAGCAAATTTAACTAAGGGCATAATTCCTCGCCACAAGGCACTTATCATGCACTGAAGACAGTTGCTCATTTAGCTGAAAACACTCTCAGACCCACCGAGTCATTTTTGGCCATCTCTCCTGGTGGCTTCAGCCAGTTGACTCACCAGTTGGCAAACCTCTTCACCTGCAGAACCATCAGCTGCTACAGTGTAATAATTGGATGGACAACAGGCTGCATTATTTATATGTTAGCCTTTCTTTTCCACTCCAGGAAGAGGTAAACGTGATCGATTTCCTCAAACAGCCAACAATGACAAGCAATTTGAAAAACGTACGTTTGACAGCGAAGCTGCGGTGCGTTCCAGAGAAACCTGATAGGGTTTTTCCAGGAAACAACATGTGCCAAAGCTGAAGCTATCAAATTACCCATTAAATGTGTTATATATTGGCTTCTTTGAAAATGAATGTAAGGTTTTCCAGGTTTAGTAGCTTCAAAGCTTAATTACTTTAATTGACACCTTGATGTTGGAGATTTGTGTAATTCACATATATTTAAAATAGCACATGGTTTCAAACAAACAGGGGCTATTTTCCATCATTTCCTAGGTTGGTAGGTAGGAAGGTGGTGTGCAAAGGGAGACTGTCAACAGCTATAAATCACTCTAAAGGCATTAAACACGTGGATTCTCCAGCTGCATCAATTGTGATCCAATTTTTGGAGATTATCAAATGAAAGCAACTAGCAATATTAACATTTACTTCATATTGTCAATTACTCATAAAAACATCAGCCGTCAGTGTCCCAGTTAACCTGTATATGTGTTTATATGAAGAACTGCAGCCAATCTAACATCTACCAGTTGTATTCTAACCATGTAAAGGTGTGCGTGTGCGTGTGCGTGTGTGTGTGCGTGTGTGTGTGTGTGTGTTGTATGTGGAAGTTGTTACAGAAGGTACACACACAGGGAACTAGCCTCCCTTTTAACAGAAGCTGACATTCAAGAATCCACACCACCTGTACAAGATAGAAAGATTAACACATATTAGGACCGGTTTATCTGTACATAGATGGAGGCTACACCCCATCACAAATGTAGAGACCTACTAATTACAAGAATGCACCATATAACAAGGATGTTTTTGCAACATTTTTGCTTATGTGAGGCGTTGTCCCCATTTTGTTGTGTTGTTTATGGGGGAGCAATTTCATCAATCACAGATTGTACCTGTACTACAGTAAATCACCTGCAGCTGTGCTGACAGCTGCTGTCCATCCCACATGTCGCGTGTGTTTGTACATACAGGCACGTTTGTGAGGAGAAAAAAGTAGTTACTGTTGCTTTCCTGCTGTTGTTTGCTTAAGCATGTGCAGAGGTTTACAAACTGTCAACACAAGCATGGGCTGTGTCTGTTTATGTTTTGATCCAATGGTGCACTATATACACACTTCTACCAATTTACTCTTTCTTTCTTTGAGCATTTAAAAGGTGGAGGTTAGGTCCAAATTCTGAAAATGTTTTAGTATTTTTGCAGAGTTGCCATTCAGTTTATACTGTGATGTAGGCAATGTAGCTACAGTTAGCCACATGAGCTAATGTTCACCAATGCATTGCTGTCTGTATTCTTAAAACATCAAACAGTACTCTCATTGAGCCTTGTCTTGCTAGCTACTTGACAGTTTTTGATGGAATAATATGAAAGTTGACGTGTGCCTGCTACTGATAATGCATTAAACATCCACTACCCTGAATCGTTTTTTGGAAGAGCTGGGAAATTGTGCAGTTTAAATAGACCGCCAGATTGAAATTGTGTGCTCGGTTAGTGATTATGGAGTGAGGCATGTCGTCTGTATAGCAGTGCAGCTCGAGTTGACTGCCTGACCTAGCTCGCAGGCTTCACTCCATTAGTTTTACTTTTAGATGAGTAAGTGTCAGTAATGTAACAATACTTCTACTTGAGTATATATTTCTGTTACTCTTTCCATCACTTGGTCTCCATCTCACCTTAGTCTTCTCTTTGGTAGTGTGGAGATTACCGTAAAACCTTAAAATGGGGGTTAACACAAGTTATATACTTTTTAAGAGATTCAAATCCACGTTTCAGAATAAGATACAATTTAGCATTTTGAAAAATTAAATGAGGCAGTGCTATAATTTGTTGATGTTTTGTAGTATTTTCTACCGCTGGAATGTATAATTTGCTTCACATAGTTCACATGCAGTCTGGAACCAGGCTGTGGATTTTTTTTGGTTAATCTGTTCGAATGGAGCCTGTTCAGCTGGACCGCATTCCAGTAAGTAACAGAGAAAGTACATTGTTCGGTTGTTTCACTCACATTTCAAATGTCGGAGTCTCTGTGTTTGTTTATTTGTGTAGTTTGTGAGGGACACTCAGAATGAGACCAAACAGTATTTAACAAGTTCTGTCATTACGTTCTTGTATGAGTGATCAGAAAATGGAGTCTGTCCATCCTCTTGCTTGTGATACCACTCCAATGTGCTGTACTGTTCAACAACAAAAAAACACTCATTGAAGCACTAATTGCGGGTTTCCCATTCTGTGCCAATCCTACAGCTTTGAGCCCAGTGAATTCTGGCTAATCACAAGTGCAATTTTGATTTCTTCCACTGTTTTTTTGACCCAAACGCAGACTGACTCACACACACAGTTATGTGCCCAAACTCATAACATTACTTTGTTCTCCCTTCTGTTACATTTGAATGACTGTAAGCTAAATAAACTAATAGCAAAAGCAAATCTTTTTAATACTTCTGTTCAAGAGCACAGTGTTTCATTATGCCATGTGATTGCATTTCAGAGAAAATCTCATTTCTCACAATGACTGATTTCATAAGAAACTGGAAGTCCAGCCCTTCCTGTTTCCAAAACAGCATGTATCACTTATGCACTTAATTTTCAAGTCAACAGATGCCTTTCAGTGATAAAAAAGGATAACAGAAAACTCCAGGCATCCAATAGCTTTAATATTACAAGGATCATTTTTATTTTAAATTCCACATTAAGTTTAAAAATAGAAGTTGAAATTCAAAGCCACAAGCTAATGTTGGATTTTACTGAGTGGATTATCTTTATCTTATTTGGTGTGAATGACCTGAACTCACTTTCACATATTGAACCTTCTTGATGATGGTAACCAATGCTGAAAATGTTTGATATGAGCAACCAGGAGCTCTATTTATAAAAAAAATATACTGTATATATACTCTGTCACTTAGGAAGATGGAGTGTTGTATCTTGCCAACAACTGCACTGTAGTTGCTTCTCCATAACTAAAAGATAAGTCTTCAGCCCACCAGAACTTGGCACAGCCTTTATGTTTCCAAACTTATGCGGTGGAGTATTGCTTCAAACATATAACAGACAATCATTATGCAAACATCCCATTCATTTTCTAATGCAGTGTTTTTAGAACTATTTCATTGCAAGTGTGTTGCTGTCTTCTTTAAACAGACCATGGGACTAAAAGCTGTACGGTGAAAAACCAGAGAGCAGAAACTACAGACTTTAGTGTGTGTGTGTGTGTGTGTGTGTGTGTGTGTGTGTGTGTGTGTGATACAAAAAAATTCAGTTTGTCCCAAGTTGGCAATTTAAATAATTTAATGTCATTCAAATCACTAACAGTTTAACAAGCACTTCAACACTGCAACAAACTTTGTACTCAAATGGTGATAATTAACAATAAATAAAACATTGTTTAACTTTTAAGTTAAATGAACTCCTAAGAATACCTAAGAATACATTCAAACAACATGCTTTAGAAAGCAGGAACAAGGCATATTCTCAGGGTACACAGAGTTTTAACATCCTACCATGCAAGGTGAAACATTCTATCTCTATGGTAATTCCACTCAAATAGTTTATTACATAAAATCACAACTCTTGACACTGCAGTGCTGTAAGAATTTGGTTTAGACTAAGAGGATGGCCGATAGTCATAGGAATTAAATTTGACGTCACCGGCCGTAAATGGGAACTTCTTGGTGCAGAACTTTGGTTTGGTTTCCACACAAAAAATATATTTATCCTAGAAAGTAAAATAAAAAACAAAAAATAAAGTACTTTTACTTTTTGTTTTAAAACGATAAATCTCACAGGTATTGAATATAGGCACAAAATATTATCCACAGGCAGCTTAAATCTAAAATGATCAGTATCAGTTTTTAAAACCCCATATTGATCAAATTTAAAAAATAAAAGTGTCTCAGAAGGCCTCTTCCAGAACTAAGTGGCCTGCTGCAACCCTTTACTCTGGATGACATATCACTATTGAGTCCTGTGTCTGCTATGGATTTGTTGGCTTCTTAAGTGCTGTCATTAGGTAATTGGTCAACTCTTATTGCGACAGCTTATTCTGTGTCAGTGACAATTAAAAGCTACAACTAAATTATCGCTCTCTCTCTCTCTCTCTCTCTCTCTCCCAGACGCACACACACACACACACACGCGCGCGCACACACACACACACACACACACACACACACACACACACAAAAAATCGAGTGTGGCTGTTGCATCTTACATCCTCTATCTTTATCTGCACAGGAAACACCTCTGCAAAGAAGGCCAAAGGAGGTCCGCTGCCTGGTTTGCTTACGCAGCTCCACCGTCAGCGCGGGCGTCAGTCACCCCATTGATTCATTCATTGTCAAAAGTGGTCAGTTCGCCTACGTACATGGACTTATCGTCCAGTGCAAACACACACTACAGGGTCATTATCATTAAGGCTGGTCTTGTTTCGTCCACGGGTGAAGTGCTCTGTGGGGGGATCCTCCTGTGATGGGACTAAGGCACAGTTTGCTTCTGGATCTAGTGATGCCGCTGATGTGTGAGGCCTCTGTATGTGTCCGTGTGGCGCGCAGGTCGACCCTCCTTCCTTCTTTGTTGTCAGTCCTTCCTCCTGAAGGAGCTCAAACATTCCAGTTATGGATTTTATGTCCTTTGTCTCTCCCCAGTGAGCACGCCTTCATCCCTTCGTGGCGTCAGCGGCGAGGTTTTCCAGGAGAGTTCTATAAATGTCCGAGCGGAGGAACCGTGGATACGAGTCTCTTTCCATTAGCCCGTAAACTATCTTCTGAGCATCGTCAAAGCAGTGCATGGTGGGAGTCTTGACGTTCCTTTTGATCTGCTCTCGGGTGTGATAGTCAATGTTGATCTGAAATGAGGCAGATGGATAGGAATGAGGGGATTTGAGCCAAGAGTGAGGATCTGAGATTCAACATTTGAGCAGGCACTTTTTCCCTTTTTGACACTCACACACTAATCTGATACAGCAGTATAAAGATGTAAGTATATGTATGAGGGACAGAGTGTCTGTGTCTGAATGTAAAAAAGTTGAATTTACCTCTTTAGGAGATTCTGCTTTGATGAACTGCTCATAAATCTTCTTGGCTCTTGAGGACATTCTGAATGAAGACTTGATCTTCTTGTAATCCTCACAGGTGAGCCAGAACTCAATATTCTCATCGCTGTATTCAGATTTGAGAAAGTTGCGAAAAGTAGCCAGTCCATCTGAGGAAAAGAGGAAACAGGCCAAGCATGAAGCACAGATAACACCCTCTTTCAGCTTTACTTAAAAAAACAATTATCCTCTTTAAAGTCTCATTCCAACAAACATAATTTACTGTTCTAGCAGTATTCTTATCTCGGGGGAAAAGCAACCTACATTTAGACTCGAGAAGCCTTTCCAGTGACTGTGACCATTGTTGGGTATCTTCTAAACTTAGCCTGCTGGGAGAGAATGCAAGTTAGATTACTCAACCAGAATCAAATTTGGGTAAAATAACGCAGGGGTGAATCGCAAGGGCTACAAAGACACAGAAGCAGTCTAATTTATAAAGCAAAGCAGATGTGCTTATCAAATTCATACAAAAATGTCAAACCATGGGATATGTTGGCGTGCGTGTGTGCTGTGCCAAAGCAAACATGGTGTCTCTAGTTCATTTGAATCCTTTCATGATGCCATAGATGGAAATGATAAGAGCAGGCTGGCTATTTTAAAACTGAAATGTATGCAAAACACTCCATAAGTCTCCTTACCTCTCTGAGCTTGATGAGTGTGAGAACATGCACTGGAGTCGGCACATAAAGTTCTTTCCACTGTGTAGAGATAAGAAATACATGAGTATATCCCTGATGGATTTACTGCTGTTAAATTAGCTTCAAGTGAATCGGTCAAAGCATGTTGGGCATGTTAGTAATTAGAAAAGAGAGCATGTGGTGTAGTAAAGCTAGATGACATTATTAACTCAAACTATTTTCAGGAGATACCATGAAGCATCCATAATATTCCTATGTGTGCTCTTGTGTCTGATAGGTTTGTCGTGAGAATTGATCTTAAAATCAAACAGATAACATTCACTAAGAAAGATTTTTCACCAAGCAGCATATTTACTGGAAACCCTGGCTTAGCGTTAAAGTAAAGGTTTCACTCACATGTTCTTGTTTCTCTTCCTGTCATCTCTGTCCATGATGAAGTGCTGTGTGTTGAGTGGTTCGACGATTAGGCTGGGCATTGTTTTGTTAAGTCCACACTCTCAGGCTCTCGGTCCTGGTCATGCTGTGGCTGAGAGACACTTAGGAGGGTTCCCCCTGCAATGAGGCTTTTTATACCAAGGTTTCCTGTTGCTACGGACCGGGGCTGCTGGGATACATCAGCAGCTCAGCCCAGACTGAAGAGGAAGCACCCCTTCCTCCTCCTTCTCCTGTTCCTCCTCTCCTCCTACCTCACTGTTAGAAACAACACATACTCACACTGTGCTGCATGCATGCGTCCCCTCTCTTAATGTCTTACTCCCTATTATGTCTCTCTGCTTCCTTTCTTTTTCTCTTTTCCTTCTGCTGTTGCAAATCCTTTCCTCCTCCTAACTGGATGAGCAAAATAATCAGCACTCTCTGTGGCTGAAAGCATGCTGTGTTCACGTTATTTTTATTCTGAGAGCACATATGCAAATTACAGTAACAGTGGCTGTGATAGGCAAATCATGACCTTTGCGAGCTGTATGTTTTGGTAGTTTGGAAAGTTAGGCCTGCTTCAGACAAATGGTAGGATTGTTCTTCTGTCTCGTGTTGATTTTTGTCTTTGTAAGGAAACAGTTATTTACTTCAACATTTATTGATTCCACAAAGGGAAATTCAAAAATGTGGCGTAAATTCATGCAACATGAAACTGCAGCCATACGTGAGAAAGAGGAAACAGCAAATCTATTGCAACAGAGAGGCTCTGCAAGGCGACAGGAAGTTGTCAGAATGTCATATCATGACCACTCTTTTGTCTCAACCACAAAGTTATTACTTTATTGTTAAAATTTGCTCAAACTGAAATCCTTATATGGAGGGTAACATATGCAAGTATGCGTGTTCAGTTTTTTTCAAATGCCAAAGTTTAGAAGTTAGTTAGTTAGTTTTGTGGCTTGGGAGGACATTTTGCAAACTTTCACATTCTCTGAGTGTAAGGTTTTTATATTATCGACACTAGGGTGTTAATAAAAAAATAAAAAAAATTGTGGATTTTATAAATATATTATTATACACCCTTAAGACTCATTTCTGTAAAACTAACTCACCTCAATTTGAAGAAATTGTGACATAAATGGGATGGCCGACAAGGTCAACTACTACAATAATGAACATGGATCCCAATGCCAATGTCAACACTGACTCATACACATTTGATGGACTACAGCCTTTTATATTTGAGCCTGTTAGATGTTTAAGGGACTGGGAGCAGACAGGGGTGAAGAGAAATAACCGAGTTTGGGCCAGAAATCGAGTTGTGGTGTGAGAACTTGTACTGAGCTGGACAGTTTCTTGGCAAGTGACTAGAGTTAGCTGAAATTAGCATTAGTAGCACTGACCCTTGACATTTTATGTTTCCTTCAAATCTGCCCTAAGACATATTTTGTCTGGCGTTGAAGTAGAGGCTGCCACAGATGATTGGAAGTGAAGAACCAGCTGTGGGAATTAATAGGCTTCAGCATCCGATCCTGAACTTCTATCTTATCTTAAAGGCGGGGGCAGATGTGAGAAACGTCCACATTTTGATAACGGCACACACTTTTCAGATAGTCTCTCCTCGAATGCATTCTTGGTGTTGCACTTGGTAGGACACACAAAAAGTGTTGTGTGAAGAATTAAAAAAGAAAAATGAAAGAGAAATTTAAACCCAGACGACTTTCACACCTCCGCACACCGAGCCAATCGATGCATTAAGTGGGTGTGAATGTCAGATTGTCCTTTTCAAGTTAAAGAAATAGTTGGAAGCAGTCCCCAAAATTCTGACACCGGAAATTGAACAAGCACTTCAGCTGAAGCATACTGACACACAATAATTTTGCATAAAGTCACTACATAAAAAAGCAGCAGTAAAATTTTGTCTTCTCACAACTCAAAATTGACTCTACAGATAGTGCCGTTATTTTGCCTCCTCCAGTTAGTAGATAATGACAGAGAACTGCGGCTGTGCTGATGAAGTGCTGCTCTCACTGCAGGGCCAATAAAGGTATCATGTTGAGGATTAAGGTTAAGGCTTGGGGCTAGGTGTTGAATCTAGGCAGCAAAAGGTCCTAAGTGTAGTAATACAGCTATAAATCCTCACATGGGAAACACCAGGGCTAAAGCTTTAACCCATGGCCTTCTGACTGTGTTGCGACAGTTACGCTGATAACTACTGAGCCAACATGGCCCCCACCAAATCAACCATTTTAGTCCAAAAGCAATTGCGTTAGAAACTCTTGCGCCGGTTGCAAAATGTCAATGTCAAAAAATCTTGGTAGTTTATTTGACTTGATCTGCTAGGGGCCCTGTACTGAACTGATAATCCAAGACTGCGCTGTTGACCTTTTGTTTCCTTCTATTAAAGAGTACCACAGCATACATGCATCCAATAGAGGTACAGTCACTTGGGGTAAAAATCATGTGTTTAATCTGCTATAAGTTTAGAAGGAAAGACTTCAAATCCCTGCAAATGTAACTACTTCTAGCCAAAGCTTAGAGTGGAGTGAGGAGAACAGAATCACACCATCTGCCTCTCACTTCACATTGGGCAGATGGGTTTCTGCAAATTTTACTGCGAGAAGCATCATTCTGCTCATTCTTGGCCACTTAACAGATCAATTTATTTTAATTTTTTCCAAATAAATGTCAAAGTCAATAAAAGCAGCTTTATAGGCTCACAAAGCAATCGTGTAGATAGACAAAAAAAGACAAGAATGGTGTCACTGTCTTGCTGTCATGTGTAATATTTGGTATTGTGAATAAATCTGAACATTTACCGCCAGAGGTGTGCAGGTCCTGTGCAAATGTAACATGTAAGTGTCACGCTCAGCCAGTTTCATGGTAGTGGTCATAGAAAACCACAAGGATTTAAGATCTATTACACTTGATCTAAATTATAGAAAGATAAAATACTTTGTTCAGTCTATTGCAGTAAAGATGACGTCTGATTCAAACATATTGCTTTTTTATATCCTCAAAGAGCTTCTTAAATTGACAAACCAAGAAGAGTAAATGCAATCCAACCTCACCTCTGTTATGTTTAATTTCCCTACCAATATAAGTTACAATAGGTTTAGAGAAGAGGGCAGATTCTGGCAGAAAACTGAACGAGAAGGAAAAGAAAAAAGGATTCAGAAGGTAATTAAAAATATTTCACAGGAGTTTTGTGATATGTTTTTAGTCTATTGCCTGTCACTCCTGCTCACCATCTGATGCCCCAGGCCATTCTGTTAAAATCAGTCCTTTGGCTTGGCTTCACTGATGCTGCTCTTCATCTTTTGCCCAAACACGGTTATAAGTACTGAGGCATTACGAACAGTCACCAAACACTGTGAACTGAAAGCTGTCCCTTTATATTTTATTGGGTTACTATATGGAGGAACAGCAGTATAGAAAACACCATGCAATACATGAGCCTGTAGTATCCAGATCTGGTAGCGAAGTTCCCCAAGTGTGACTGTCTTGACTAACACCGTGCCATCGACAGTACTCACTTCCTTTTCACTACCATGGTAACTGTGCTGGGTTGTGAGAAAACAGTGACAGATTGTGTGTGAAGAATAGTGAGCCATGTGATGTGAGACCTCTGTCATGTATCAGGAACAGCCCCTGACATCCCAGAGTACGCAGAGTTACTGACGTTTGACATTGAAATAACTGTGGGGCTCGGCATAATAAAAGCTCACATAGCTGTTTATTGTGATTCCTGCAAATAGTTCTAGCATGCACTCTTAAAAATGTGCATTTACATGTGACTGTTTTGCAACATTAAATGCCTGGATTACACTTTTCAATCAACATCATTTTGTTAAAAAAAAACAACTTTATCCTACAATACTCGCTCTTGCAATACAGTATCTGCCCATAGCAACTAAAATATTAAAATAAAAATTGAAAAAGCAAACTTGACTTGAGGTACAAGACTGAAGCAAAACCACATTCTCTCACTAATCTTAACCAAGGTCTGTTTGTCTGTCTGCCTATATCTCACCACACAATTCAGGATGCAGACCTCAGTCCCTGAGATTCACAAAAGATGTTTTTCATTGCCAGGAATTTCTGAATGAGTGAAGTTTTGGGAACATTAAGAAGAGATGGCAATGGGATGGCGCTAAAAAAGATTAGGATTTCCACCTCTTTCACATCCATTTTCTTTTATCTCTTCACCAGAGCAGGTTCAATAAATATTTTGAATTGCAGTATGTGGTGCTTACTTGTGCTCAAAATATCACTTATATTCCAATTTCACCAAATTCTGGAGTGATGCAGGGGAGTGTGTCATGGGCACAAAATGAGAATAAATGGTCTAAAGTACAATTTAAGCTTCCCTTATATTTCATTTTTGCAACATGCCATTCATTACGCCTGGATAGACTGCTTAGAGGTAAAAAAGCAAGCTTCCAAAGTTAGAACAAGATAGGGCAAGGTAACAACAATCCATACCATACATCAATCTTTATTTAGGTGAAATATAAAAAGCGTATTCTCCACTTTTCACATTTTTATTTGAATGTAAAGCCTCTACGTAAAGCAGTTGTGTATTCTCTGCCATCATTGTCTGTGGGTGATGAGATTATTCCCCTAACAAGGCAGCACATTCAGGCTGATCTGTTACGCATCAGGTTGTCTGATGACTCCAGTGTTGTCGTTTAAGCCCCTGAGTTATTATTAGCTGCCTCAGTACTCCTTTTTAAGGCACAATTTTTAGGAATAAGGCCATTTACAGAACCGAGCGGGATCAAGGGTTACCAAGGGGTTACTTTTTTCCAGTTTGGTAAACCCTATTGCTGGTGTGTGGAGTCATCTCTGCACCTAATTAGAGGATATATCAGACATGTGACCAAAAACAGAATCTCCTTGCTGGGTGAGTGGTGGAAACTTCTCTTTTTTTGTTTTTTTTGACCCATCCCCACGCCTTCAGTGAGACACTCAGTCAGATAAATATGAACTCAAAATATGACTATATGGAAATAGTCGGAAAATTAAGAATAGTCATAGACTATGAGTCGAAACTACCACAATCATATGCTCAAATATATCCATGTAAGTTAGTCAAGAACTTTGCATTTATTGCCCATTTATTAAAACTAGGTCATTTCATTCTGCATGTCAGAAACAATTTATCATTCCTCATTATTTATCATACTGTACACTCACTATCTTAACTTACAAAGACTTTCAGTTAACATTTATAGCATTTCAAACAACTCCAAACTCTGCACAATCAAAGTACATCACATACCAACAGCATTCTTTCTCCCCTACATTCATCTCTTTCCACTCACATTACTTTTCTCTCACGGTGTTCATCAAATTGCCCACAACATTTCATCAAGACATCATCTCCACCTCTCATACAGCGTGAAAGCAGCAGCATTGATGCAGTGTTTTGATGACCTTGTTTCTCAGCTAAATGTACCAAAGAGTCTTGGATTTGTGCTTGAGACTCAGGTAGGCATCTGACTGCAGGAATCTGGGGCAAGAGTCTCTCTCCATCAGCATGTAAACATGTTTCTGGGCCTCTTCAAAGCAGGAGAGGCTCGGCTCCTCCAGAGACTTCTTAATCTTCTCTCTAATGTGGTGGTCAACATTGATCTGGAGAGGAAACAAAGAGAAAGCATGCTGTAAATTGTGTAGAATACAGCGGAATTCACAGCAAATATATTATTCACACAATCACTCATTGTTTCAGTTTGCTTGGTCATTTGTGTACCAAGGAATTAGGAGCTCGAAATTTGTGGCTTTTCCTTCCAGAAAACTGCACTGTACCACAAGAGTGAACTAGAAAACATAACCCTTAATACACATAGAATGACTGACACCCTATAACAATGCTTATATTAACCTATTGCTTTTCGTAAACTGTAGAAAAATCTTAACTCAAGGTTTATTTACTAACGTTTTTTCTAGAGCTTTCAACCTTCCTTAGAAAATTTATGTGTTTAAAAGCTTTGAAAAAGCTGGTACAATTTGTTAAGAAGTGTTTCCAAAGTCAAGAATTAGCTTTCACGCACATATATTTTTGAGCCCTAGTGTTTCGTCAAAATTGGCTTCACGTCCTCACTGTTTGGGGTCCAGAGTATAACACAGCAGCATGTGTAACAATTGCTTTTTCCACTTCTTCTGACCTCATGAAAAAAACAATGAATAGGAAAGTGTTGAAGTAGTAATAAAAAATTCCCTTTGCCACAAACTGGACATCTGGTGATGTTACTTCTGATGTTACTTATGTTTCGGGTCAGTCTTAGACCTCTGTATTAGACCTCTGAACAAACTGTAACAAAACTCCCCTAACATAAATCCTTATTTGAGATCTCATGGGAGGGGAGCGCTGCATAAAAATGACTGTCAGCACCAATCACAGATATAGAGCTTATGAACATCCATTGTCTTTAACCCCCCAACAGCTAGGGTCTCTAAGGCCTCAACCAGAGCAGTACCTTTGATCATGTATGCATCATACACATATACTGCAGAAAAAGTATAAAATGCCAACAAGAAATTCATTGTAAAAATGGCACATTTTTGTTTAGCTTAATTTGTGCATTTTTAGTCACAGTCACTGGATGGGACCTTTAAAGTCACACTCACTGACCCTGTGTGTGTTTTGTTCAATTAGCATAGCATAATGTACAAAATATTCAGGTATCCTTTTAATATGCCTGAAAAAAAAACCCCAAAAAAACTTACAGCACAAAAGAGCTCTTAAATATGAAGTTACTTATCACCTTAGTTGCTTGAAATTGTTGAAATGTAAATGGATTTGATATATTCAAGGGATTTATATTTGAAAATTAGATTTCCCACAAGATTCAGGTTTGAAAATGCTATTGAACCCCACTCATCTTCACCTTAGTGCACCAACACTGAAGACTATACAGCACACAGCTCTATAAGCAGTGGAAGTTGTGACATTTAATAGTCATCCATATTACTTCATCAATGTTGAGAATCCTTTACTCATTCTTTTTGCTGATAATGAGGTACCATCTATTGTGCTGACACAATAATGCTTTACCCTGTTCTGTAATATCAGTTACGGGATGGTGTATAATTTTCTACTGTCTATTGGCTATTCATCCAGCTCTGTCTCTTTCCACGAGGAATCATCAACCCTGACAAACTCACCTCTCTGCAGGCTGTAGGCTGGATAAACTCCTGGTAGATCTCCCCAGCTTTCCAGCGAAGGTCATCCGGTGAGGTGGTCGACTTGTAGTCTTCACATGCGAGCCAGAACTCAATGTTTTCTTCACTGAACTCAGACTCCAGGAATGAGTGGAATGCTGCTAAATATTCTGTGGGAAAGATTTCAAAGTAATTATTCGTTGTTCAAATCTTATTATTTTAATTTTAATAATAAAGATATTATTTTCATTTAATTTGTGGTATTTTACTATCTGCAAATAAGCACCCAATTGTTTAAAAAAGGAACCGTTCCTACTTTTATCCTGTAGCAACTTTTCCAGAGTTGGGTGGAGTTTAGTCGGCCAACTGTAATAAAGAGACGTATTTGAGTATTCTTTTTCACCATAATGAACAGTGAGAGATTGAGATATCTATAATACTGGAACATACACTACCTGAGTTTTGAAGGATGTGTGTCATCATTTATTTTTTGTACCATGAGGCACTGGATGTCCTTCTTATGCCTTTTTCGATTAAGAACAATATCAATTCTGTAAAACAAATAGTTTACATGTTTTGCTACTTAATAATAATCAATGTAAAATAAGAAAAAGTAAGCCTGTTCACCTTACTGAAATCATTACGTAATATCATTAGTCTCTCTGGCTTACCTCCTTGGTCGCTTCACATTTTGCATCAGATCCTTTATTTCGTAGAAACGAATCTTTGAAAACAAAAGTTTTGGCATTTTAACATTCCTGGTTTTGTCCTCTGAGGAGTTACAATAGTCTGTAGTGGTGTCTGTAAACAGTATTCCCTCCAGCACTCGCCCTTAACATAGCAGGAAAGGTGTAATACCTATGACGCCTAGGACCTGCTGGTACAGGCATCTAAATGCCATTTGGATAAGCATACAGACTCAGCTACTGTTGTAGCTGACTCACAGCTGTAAAATTCCAGTGGAATAGGATTTGTGTGTTACTGTAAGATGTATATGGAGTTATAGATAGACTTAATGAGCAAAATTCTCATACTGTTAATCAATGGTGGTCTGACAATGATATAATCTGGGACAAAAGTAATGTGTTAGCTGTCAAAAGATTCATTCATTCATTCATATTCAGCAAGAATGAGAGTGATCTGATCTTACTTCCTAGTTAAAAGCTTAGCAGTATTCTGAATGAGCTGGCAGCTACTATTTCTCAATGTTTGAAACTGTTAAAAATTAATTGAATTTTAGCTACTGTCCTCAACTGATGAAAGCATGATTGTACCACCCTGGATACTTGGTTGTCAAACTATAGGTCATCATGTAACACTCAGATTGTGAGCAGAACCTTTGATAGTGGATGACAGAAAGCCAGAATAGAGGAACTGTCGAGGAATAGGGGATGAATAAAAGATAGATTCAGTTGCAGAAAACGCTGTGCCATCCAGCTCTTAAGATCAAAAAGACAGCTCAAGTGTTGAACACATTTGCAGTGTCACCATGTTTAAGTTTGAAATTGAAAAAGAAAACTCATGAACAACAATCTTAAAATCTATAAATAATGCGCGCACAGAAATTGAAACATGCAGTGAGTCATGTAAGGACAGACAGGAAGTTGACTGGGAAGTTTCTATATGCACTGAAACCAAGCGAGTGACCCAAACAGTTCTCAGAACAACTCCTGTAATGAGAATGTCCCTTTTCTTTCATGTCATACAGTTATAATTATTCTATGTATTCACTCATACATACACACACTTTTATCTTAACCTAATCATATGTGTAACATGACATAGTTCCTCTTGTCCGATGCCCCATGACACAGATTGCAACAGCGTAGGAAATTTTACCACTGAAGTGCTTCTGTGAATGCTTTGGTGCTTAGGTGTGGGTGTTTATGTGGTGCTTTTCAGGATTCCCTCAGGGGTCTCACCATTGTGTATAGTGGTATTTTTGTGGTTAAGAGAATGCTGAAGTGGGTTTATTTCAAACTTTCCACTCAAGAACTACAGAAGCTGCAGTAGATGCACGTGTGAGGCTAGGGAGTTGATTTCTCAGTGGCCGACACCCTTAATATTGCATGCTTGGTTGAACAGTACTTTCATAAGGGCCATGGGAAAGTTGAGAGAATGCAAAAATGCTCAGTGTTCAGCGTGTCATCATGACTGGTCCATTGAGCTTGTGAAACATTTCTTTGACATCTACATAATGTAAAAAGAGTGCAATTGTGGTTGATTTATGTATTCACATCATAATCATCACAGCTATAATCAATATTCAATATATGATGTGTGAATGACAATGTGAAAACAATGTGACAATGAAAAAGAGGTCACATGTAGTGACAGACTGCTAGTTTGCAGCTTCATTCAGCTTTACAGAGCTTTTCCAAGTTTGAACTCATTGTTTGGCTGGCCAGAACCACAACTCTACTGTTCTGATTCACTCTCACCGCTCTCATAGGGTTCTTTTTGACCACAGCAGGCAACAGAAATCCCACTGCATGCTACCTGCTCAGCACCATATGGCAGACAGTTAGCGACCAGTGTTGGACATTGTGGAGCATCAGAACTCTGGATTTGGTAGAAACAGAAATATTTGGACTTACATTCACCAGGTGGACAGCAACACGACTACAAATGATTGATAATGTTGCTCTACAGCTGCATTAGTAGTATTGCCCTTAAGTTCCCCTGTAGTAATGGCAATACTTGGCATCAAAGGAGTGTAGAGTATGGTTTTGAACCTGTAAAAAAAACTAAAACAGAAACAAAATACAAAAAATTGATTAAAGTGTGTATTTATCCTTTTGATCTGTTCAAAAATGCTCACTGTGAGTTATGTGGTTTATTCTGAATAACTCTGATACTGTTTCTAGAAAGACAATAGGCTTTGAGTGTTTTTTTTTTTTTTTTTTGAGTTCTTGTATTTCAACCCACTAAGGTACATTTTGTTCTTGTTAACAATAGTGCTATACTTCCTGGCAAGCATATATCAGGTGACTAATTTCATCAACATTTTTCCATCATGTTGCCTGTTTGTTACTGTAGGTCGACTACTTTAATATTGTTTTGACATGAGAATGTAAAAAAAAAAGGGCAACAGGGGCCAGAAGGAGAGCAGATAGAAGCAAAGTGCAACAGTCAACCGGCTTATCTCGGTGATCCACATCTGATGAGTCAGAAGGTGTTGTTTATAAAGTGTACACAGGATGTTGTTTGCCTCATATGTTTACTCTAATTTTAAACTGTACAGATGATTTCATCAGCATTCTTTAACTGTTTAAGCCTTTTTGGCTAGTGAGCCATGTCTTTCTGTCCTTTGACACAAGATGCATACGTGTCTTATCTGTGAGCAGTTCAACCAATCAGTGATGCTCCTTTTAGAGCCCTGTGGGATTTGAAGTAAAGTAGTAGAGACTTTCTTCTTCGTTCCTGTCTTTAATCATCTTGTGACTCCTCGAGGGGGCCTGACCCCAAGGTTGAAAGCACTACTTCTGAGGTCTGATGCATATTTTTAGTATTGTCTTGATGTAGACATAACGATCCACCATTTAGAGAAACTATTTTCCTTTTTAACGAGAACAAGAATTTCATTGGATAGATTCCTGGCGGTTTCTATACAGATGACATTAAAACTTGATCTTAAACTAAATTTATTCAAACACAAAGGGATGAGAGTTATCTTCACCACCCTGTACAGAAATAACTCAATCAAGCTGGATACAGAAAGAGGTAGGCCACTGACCATATTTGTGCCTTTAGTTGCAACACTGCAAAAATGCAGGGTAGGGCACTTCCACTTCAGTGGCAGCCAGTGACACTTACAAATCATTGTGGCGCCACAGCTTCGCCTTTTTTAGTTTAGTTTAGTTTAGTTTAAAAAAACCTTAACCACGCTGGCAGACACTTGAATCAAGGATGAAGGGCTGTATCTCATCACACTGTGGGTTGATTTCCTCCTCTATGGCGGATGGCAAAGTGGTGGAAAATAGTTGATGACTACCACTGATAGCAGATCACCAAGAGCACAACAAGAATCACTTAACGGAACAGTGGGCTTCTTGCAATACTACCCTTATATGACTACACATGACATTCAGGTGAACTTGGTGTAATGTTGTGAATGACACATTTTAATGGCAATGGTTCAACTAGACCTCAAGCCTACATACTATAGACAAAAAAACAACAACAAGAAAGTCAACGTTGTAGTGACACAGTGGCCAACTAAAAAAAAATAAATTGCCCAAGTTTAGCATCTACGATGTTTCACGGAAGAGAACGCAGATCTATTATTTCTAAAAATGAGACAGTCAATTACGCTTTTGTGTCTAAAAGTTCATATTATTCAAGATTGTAATTTTCCATGACAAATTTGTTTCAGATGGTATGGAAATGCACTGACCACTTTTACGAGCTATTGTTCTGGTCAGTTACCGAATGAATGGCATACTTTGTTCTGTGGTGACAACATGAAGTAAGGACAAAACCAAATGAGTCATCTCAGTGGTAAGAAATGAAATAAAGCATAACACTGTGGTAAAGAAAATAAAAGCAGTCATCTGACACGCATAAGCTGATGAACAGATAACTGAGCCATTTAACATTCTTTTCTCATCAGGGCGTGAAGAGAGTTATTTTTAGCCACATGTGTGATCATGTCTTCCTTGCTCTTCTGGATTACGCTTTGATTGTTTCATATTATATTTATATATTATATATCTGCTGTTAAAGAAAATGTGATATGGTTGAAAGCTCAACAAGTGTGGACAAGTGGACCTTTAGTGAAGACTGATCTGCTGCTGTTTAATATGTCAAGAATGAACTTGCAGTGGTGTTTCCTTTTACAGGAATTTAAATCAGTTTCACACACAAAGACTGACAGCAAATTCCCCAAACACCTATTTCATATTTGAATTTCACAGGTTTCCATCTGTTAGACCCACCACAGATACTTAGACAGAAGTATCTGCTTCTTAATTTTACAGCGTATTCAAAAGAACAGAATTTCCCCTGATTGCCAGGAATATTTCTCTTTCATCAGTATAACACCAACTTTTGGATGTTTTCAGAAGAGCTATTGTGAAATTCGTATTACAAAATAATGGAAAATCAGGAAATATTTCATCAGTCTAGACCTGACTGATTGACAGGAAGTGCGCTTTCTGAGATATGAATGCTTATAGCAGCAATAATATACTGCAGGCAAACTGCAGACCATGGAGAAGTATGGCACTTTCACTTTTGTTTGATTCATGACTGCTTAGCTCCACAGTAGAGGTCCATGGTTATCAAATAAAGAACAAGCAGCGTGTTAACATTCTGGCAGAACGTATTATTACCTATTGGAATGTGTGTGTTAGTGTAGGTGTGTGTTCTGCACTTGCTTGTCTGGGCAGTAGTTGTATATCTGATGTGACTGGCTTATGGTTTTGTCAAATTCAAGCACAGACTAGACACAAATTGGAACCGAGTGTTGCGTGTGTGAGTCAGTCAAAACCCACCTGTTATTCTCTCTGAAGAGGGTTTAGGGTGAAAGGAACAAGTTGTTGTTACTTCTTTTAAACAAGATGAATACCTATAACCCATAAAAAATGGTCTCTGCAATAATTAAACGATAACGACAACCCATCATGCTCAGTGTCAGTGCAGTGCAGTGAGAGGTGGGGAGAGAGAGCACACAGGGGAATGTCTGTTGATCCTGCTGAGCTTTCAGGAGGAATACTAGCCACAGTAACTAGTCTGTGTCTGTGTGACACTGTGTGGTCACGCCTGAGTCCCTCTGGTCCCTGAAATGAGCCTTTCCATCACACTGGGCAAAGTCAGACATTTCATCTATATGAGTGACAAGTGCAAGGCAGCTGAAGGGGAGGAAGCGAGGACTTCCAGTACTCTT